ACATGTTATTCCATTATTCGGACATATACTTTACAATGGAATTGGATAAAAGTCACATTATGTTATTTAGGAAAAGGACGAAACGGAATGAGTTAATTTTTATTTCTTGTAATATCCTTATTTTATAAAAATTATTTATTTTACATTTTAATTTAAAAATAGAATTTTGTAAAATGGAAATAGTTTAAGGAATAGACACGACAAAATTAAGCATTGAATAGAAGATTCATTCATCACTCTGTTTTGGTAAAATTGGAACTCACAGTAAATGAAAAACGTCCTAACATCCATTATAAAACCCAATTGCATAACTTGGGATGGCAATGAGACCCATGGAGGCGGGTAATAGCAAATTCGTCCTCGTCATGCTAAATAAAAATTGGTTTCATACTCATTTTATATCCGCGCGGATATCTATTAAGCAAGTATCTATGAATTTCTTGAATACCCACAGATATCCATGGATATTTATAATTTTTTTAAGAAATTAAAAAAATTATATTACAAATAATTTTAAATTTATATTTAATGTCATTGAAATATTAAAATAAAAAGAGTTAATTACTTATACACTGCCAGTGTAAAGTTTTTTTACACTGGTAACCAATTATATCTTTTAATTGTGTGTCACTATAAACACACTTACTTTTAACAGTGACATGACACAATTAAAAGATATAATTGGTTGTTACAGTAAAAAAAACTTTACATTGGCAGTGTATAGGTGATTAACTCAAATAAAAATTTAATGTTAATTTTAAACTTGTATTTAATGTTAATTTTGTTGAAATAATAATAAAAATGCAAGATGACCAATAACTTAAAATATATCAATCTTATAATGTAAGTGAAAGTCTCATATCACAAAAGATGCGAGAGTGTAGTTTTAGGCTTATGTGGTACAAGGATAATTAAGATATTTAAGAAATATTATTAAACGGGTAAAAAATTATCATCATATCCGCCCCCGCCCCGTTTATAAAATGATAAAAAATTATCCGTCCCCATTATCCGCGGATATCTAATTAGCCTATTCATTTATTATCCGTAGTAGATTTTACCCGCAGATACCCGCGGGTGCGAGTATTTTTGTCATCCCTATGCATAACACATCAAAAATATAAAAATAAATAAATAAATTAGTAACCGTAATTGTGTAAAAAAAAAAAAAAAACACACAAGAGAAGAATAAAACGCCAAGTTAAGAGTTGCTATGCAAGCAGTGACAACTTGGCGAGGTTGTCTGGGAGAAATCCATCGTCAGTGTTTAATGAAAACATTCAATTGAATTGCAACATTCAATTACAGCACTGCACTCATGTATTGAGTTTTCTTTTTCCAAAAGCTTTTTTTTTTTAAGTGAAGGTTTCCCTCAATTCCTTCGAAGACAATGAACCCATTTTTACATCAAATGCTCTATGCTTGAGGGACTGTCTTCAATGAGGATACGATATATAGTTATTTCACAATTCAAAATTAAGTGATGGAATGGAATAAATCATGACCCATCCTCTTCCATTATGTTCCATTCCCACTTTTACAAACCAAACAATGAATTACATTCTCTTCCAACTCCATCCTCCACCATCTACTATATTCCAAACATATCCTCAGTAATTAGCAATGGAGAATGTTAAAAAGTGTTCTAGAGAAATATTTAATAAAATAAAATTAATGTGAGATTAGTAATTTAACATTTAAACTTTATTTATTTCAGTTTAATTTTATAATATTTTATTTTGTTTTAATTTTTTTTTGTTAAATTTTTTATTTTAGTGACATAAAATCTATCATAATTGATAGAAGAAGGAAAAATTTATAATTTTTCATCATAAATAACCACTACATTTATCAATTGACAAAAAAACAAATTTAAATCAGAAAATATATATAAGAACAATCCGGAAAAAAAATAAAGTTAAAAGATTAATATTAATTTTAAATCAAATAAAAATATCCTGCTAAAAACATTAATTATTTAATGTTTTAAGAAATTAAAATATTTAACTTAATGCTTATTTGAATCGACAATAATGTTGGTTGTGCACCCAATAATTAAATAGTCCATGTCAAATTGTAGGGGAGACAAAATCAAATGTAGAGCAATGAAAGAATTATGTAATTAATATCGTCTTTATTCTTATATATAAAATTTAATAATTATTTAATTCTATATAAAACTTAATTATCTAATTCACTAACATTAATAAAAATAATTAATTTAGTTAATGGAAATGATTTTATTTTTTATATATAGATTTTTTAAACTATTCTTATTATTTCCATTTCATAATTAATATTTATATATCTTTTAACTAATTAGAATTTACATTCTACATTTTTTTTCATGATTAATATTCATTTTTCAGTGTGTACTCTTTAAAGAATTTATAATTAATTAATTTTATCAAATTAAGATAATATATTTTAATTAATAATATTTTAATCTAAAATAATTAATATATAAAATAATATGAATTCAATCTTATATAAAAAAAAGTCATTTATTTTAAGTTAAGTCTTACGATAATTAAAAAGGCAGAAAATTGAGATTGTTAGGAAGGGCCATGAAAATTAACACCATTTTTTGGTAAATCCTTATGTTGGTGGGCTTAATGTTTGTGAATGACAGAAGATAGAATGTAGCACTTGAGTAAATGGTAGGGCCATTACATTAGCTTTGGCAATTGGCATGCACACGCAACTCATACTCCATCTTAAACCATCTTTCACCAACTTTACTAGCCCATCCCATCATAACGGGAAAAAAAAAATAGGTAAAAAATAAAATTTAATAAATAAAATATTAAATAATTTTTAAATTTTAAAAAATTATTGAAATAAAAAATCTATTTATTTTATAAATAAGTCTATTTATACTTACTCAATTTAATAATTTATATTTTACATTAAGTTTTAATAATTTAATTGTTGAATTAAAAAATTTTAATATATAGATTAATTTTGTAAAAAAATTTAAAATTTGATACTTCATTTATTAATTTAAATTAATAAATAATTATAAAAATATTTTATATAATATAAATTATTTATTAAATGAAAAAACTGTAGTAGCGAAAGGAGGAAAGACATTGAATTCATTGGACTACGTGTATCAAATTGAGCTAAACTAATAAATATTTTTAGTTTGAATTGGATACAGTCAAATTTGTCAAATCTAATCTAAACTAAAACATTAAAAGGTTATTTTAGTCTCGTTGTTGGAATCTAAAATGTTCAAAAGATATAATTTTAATTTTTAAAATACTGTAAATAATAATTAATAAATTAATACAAACAAATATATATAAAAAATTGTCACATTATTATAAAAATAAATAAATAAATAATTGTTACATTAATTGATTGACTGATCAATTTTTATAATTTTAAAAAATATAGAATATTCAAATTGAAGGACAATCAATTTGAACAAGTTAGAATAGTACTAGATTTTTCATAAAAAGTAATTTAAATTTGTCTCACAATATTTAAGTCGGTTTAGATAGTATAAGTTCATGAGTTATTCAAACATGAAAGCTCATAAGATTATAATTCTTTGAAAGTCTTGTAACACTAGTTAATAAACCAATTAAAAATACTATTGGAGTTTAATTCAGCTTGTTGAATAGAGTGTAAGTTAAACAAACTACTTGATAACCGGTTCAATTCCCACCACATAAAAAAATGAACAATTAAGAATATTATCGCTGTAATGTTTAAGAAAATTTAAAAAAAAAAATTCAAAATAAAGAGAATAAAAATTCTGTATTAATAAAGTTAAATACTATTAATTAATAATACCAACATATTTAAACCTATAATAATTTTATTAAATTTATTTTATTTTATGTGCTATAAAAAATTATAATATTTTTTTATAAACATTATTCACATAAATATTTTTTCATATTATATAATCTATATAAGTTTTTGGAACTAATAATTAAATTTTAATAAATTACATAAAATTAAAATTATAAAGTATGATATTTATTATTATTAATATATTTTTACCTTAACTTTTTAATTGGATACAAATTTTCAAACTTAAATACTGTACAAAACAGATTTGCCATTGTCCACATTTATCTACGTGCAAACGATGTGAAATTGTGAATGGAAAAATATATTAAATTAAAAATTTTCAAAGTAAAAGAAATAAAAAAAATGTTAAATATTACAGACTTTTCAATTCACTAATAGTTGTAATAAATTTATATATATATATATATATATATATATATATATTATGTTTATACGATATAATTTGAAAAAACCTACAATGTGGTGTAAAGGTCAATCATATTCATGTAAATTTAATATAAAAATAAAATTACATTTTTATCCGAATTAAAAAAATTAAAATTGTATTTAAGCAATTAGAGTTAAACTATAAATGCATAACAATTAAAAACTTAAGTTCAATTCAGTAAAAAAAATTCAATTCAATTCGCATTACATTTATTGTAATCAACCTTATAGATAAAACAATAAAAATAAAAATATAGTAACCACTAACCAGTAAGGTTGAATATAATCCATAAATATTTGAGTTTTGTTTTAAACATGTTTATATGAAATTTGAGTAAAAACATTGTCAATTTCGTCATAAAAATTAACATTTTTAATTGTTAAAATAAAAAATTATAAAAATGATTATAATAAAAAATAAATTTAGATCACATATTTCTAATTATCTCAACTCTTTCCTATTTAATTACTAAACAAACTCTTATTTAATTGCTAAACAAACTCTAGTCGTTTAACTATATTGACAATAATCTAAATCATTAATATTATTTTTTTTCCCATTTAATAATTATAAAATAACAAATCAATAACCGTAAAATATTTATTTTCACATATTTATTAAGCTTAGATCCTCTGTTATGATATTTTTGTTTAATAAAATCTCAACTCTTAATTACAAATAAGAAGAAAATTTTAAATAATATACTAATAAAAAAAGATAGTGCTTTGATGATAGAGAATTGTACATTAAACAACAAAATCCCAATCCACGTGGTAATATTATGTTTTAAAAATAATTACTGTAATGTGTAAAGAATGGTTGAGAAAATAAAATAGTAAAGGGCTAATAGATAGAAGGAGGAGCAGCGATTGTTTGTGTGAATGTCGGATTTCTCGTGATTGTCATTCACTCCTATAATTAATAGCCACCAACCTAAGGAACATAAAGTAACTCAGCATTCAGCAAAATAAAAAGTTTAAATAAATAAATAAACAAATCCTCTAATCCACTTGGTTGCTGAGTCCCCCACTATACACATAACATAACACAATGTACCCTTCTACGTGAAGTCAATATTATAATTTCCACTCGCTCAAGCAACGACACAATCATCATATAGTATAACTATTTTCACCAAAACCACAAGGGCAAATGCGTCAATATAACCCTACGACGCTTGCGGCATCGGAAACGACGTCGTTACGGCCACGCTGTTGTGATCCTTGCAACTCAGAGCCTTCAGTATTCTCCACGACACCTTCCCGCCCACCTTCCCGCCGGGCTCCGCCGCCACGAACATCGTCGTCGACGGATTCCGCCGAACCTGCCGGTTCTTCATGTCGCTCAGCTCCATCTCCGCCGGCACCTTCATCGTCCCGAACATCAGCGAGTACCACCGCGGCTTCGTCGCCTTCTTCGCCTCCGCCGCCACGCCGCCGCTCCTGGCCGAGGAATTCCGCTCCACCTCCGGCGCCGCGGGCTCGCGCAGCCTGCTGTAGTCCAAGCTCTTGCTGTTCCTCATCATGAGGCGGCGCGAGCCCCCGCCGGTGCACGTGCTGACACTGTTGGATCGCGTGACGGAGGAGAGCGAGTCCGATCTCCGGCGGCGCGCGGGAGATTGGAGTTGGTCGACGAGGGCGAAGGTTGTGAGCGGCGGGTGGGCTTTGAATGGGACGAGTCTGCCGCAGAAAATGATGTCATCGGCGGGACACATGTCGGAGCTGCTGGTGCTGCTGAAGCCGTTGAAAATCTCGGCGGCATGATCCGGTAACGAGGAGGGTCGGAGAATTTTGTTAAACGAGGCGTCATCGAGGCTGGGAGTTCTGGAATTGCGGTTAAGTGGAAGATCAGAGAGCGAGAGAGCCTCCTCTTCCTCTTCCTCTTCTTCTTCTTGATATTGCACGTAATTGGAGTCTTTCATTATGTGTACTTTCTCATCTTCCATAGTTAACTATAAAGAGGAAGGAGACACAATTGTTGTATATATATGGGGGGATAAAACAAAGAGGGTGTGGGGGGAATTATTAGTTTCTATCACACTTTTATTTTTGGTTTGGACTTTGGAGTGTACACAACGATATTTGTATTTGGATTTTTATTCTCTAGGTTTGGTGTTCCTTATTATGCCCATATCTTCTAGAGAAAATTAAATGATAAGGAAAGGTATCATATCATCTAGAAACTAGAAAGCCCAAAACTCCAAACACAGAATAGTGTTGTGTCCATTTCTACCAAAGAAAAGGCCACGGTGGCCTTGTAATATTTCCAAAGGGCTCGGGTTCCATTTACTGCCCTATTTGCTATTTGCTCATTGCCACGTACACGCACTTGAATTCAAGTGGAGCCAAGCCAAACACAAGTTTTAATTCCTCATTTCTCCACCCCAAATCTTAATTTGAAACCCACCAATTCTTCACAAACGCACTTTCAACAAAATATCAACATCAAAGCGCTGCATTTTTTTTTTTTTTTTTGGTTGTTATTGTTATTTGGTTCGGTCACCAATTTTCATCGTGGCTGCATGCTTTGTTGTCATATTCAAGTACGCAAATCCCTGACCAATCTGGAACGTTTCCCAATCAGAAAAGTACTGACTCAAATTGTACAGGTAGGAGGGTTCGGCCACCACCCTATCGGCCGCCGAACCCTCCTCATGTCGTGTTTTCGGAGCTGCCTGAAAACTTCTTCAAGATCACTTTGATGGGTGTCGAGGTCACCTAACTTGACAACCATATCATCAACATAAACTTCCAAGTTTCGGCTAATCTGGTGTTTGAAAATTTTGTCCATAAGTCGCTGGTATGTTGCCGCTACGTTTTTTAGGCCGAACGGCATTACTCGGTAGCAGTAGTTGGCTGAGTCTGTGATGAAAGTTGTTTTCTCTTCATCCTGTGGGCGCATGCGTATTTGATTGAAGCCCGAATAAGCATCCAAGAAGGGCGATAAACGATGTCCAGCCGCCCCATCAACCAATCGGTCAATGTTAGGTAGTGGATAGGCATCTTTCGGGCACGCCTTGTTGAGATTGGTATAATTTGTGCACATCCGCCATTTGCCGTTTGGCTTTTTAACCATGACTACATTTGCCAGCCATGTAGTGTACTGAACTTCCCTAATGAAGCAGACTTGCAACAGCTTAGCTACTTCTAACTCAACGGCAATTTTTCTCTCCGTTCCCATTTTCCTCTTTCGTTGTGCCACTGGCTTAGCGGCCGAGCAGATCGATAGTCTGTGGCACATAAAGCTTGGATCTATTCTCGGCATGTCGGACGGAGTCCAGGCGAACAAGTATTTGTTCGAGGCAATTACTTTACTCAACTTTATTCTTTCGGTGTCTGACAAACCGCTACCGATGTAAGTGACTTGAGATGCTTGTTTTCCGATTTGTATTCGGATCTTCTCTTCCACTGGTTCTGCCCTTTCATCATTCACTCGTGGATCAAGATCACATAATGAAGCCGATTCTAAAGAAGGAGTGATGGCATGAACCCTCCTTGAGTTTGCTGGTTTCTCTTGAGCAGGTGGCACGCGCAAGCTTGCGAAGTAACACTCCCGAGCCGCTTTTTGATCGGCGTGTATGGTGAGAATACTTCCTTTGGCCGATGGGAACTTCATAGCCAGATGCGGGGTTGACACAATTGCCCCCAAGGCATTCAACGATGGCCGACCTAGCAGTATGTTATAAGATGTGTTGGCCTGGACAACAATATATTTCACCTGGATATCTCGGTGCTCCCTTTCATCGAAGCAAAATCGAGTAGAACGTTTAATGAACCCCTTGGTGTCGACCCTTTCCCCTGCAAAACTGACCAATGGCTCATTGTAGGGGGTTAGTTCCTCTTCAGGGATACCGAGCTGCACGAAAGTGTTCCAATATAAAATATCGGCCGAACTGCCTTGAGGAATTAATGTCTTTTTCACGATACAATTGCGTATTTCTACGCTGATGACCATAGGATTGTCTTGAACCGGATCAATGCCCTGAAAATCCTTGTCAGTGAATGTGATGGCGGACAGTCGCCGAGTCACCCATTGTTCAAGAGCATTCACAGATCGGACAACTCGCAAATGTCGTTTTTGAGCTGATGACGTCGACCCGCCTCCAGCGAAACCTCCAGAAATCGTGTTGATTACCCGTCGATGCGTTGCATGAGTATCTTCCTTCCGATCTCTTGATCGGCTACGTTCCCGGCGATGCTTATCTGAACGATCAGACCTGTCTTGCTGCCGAGGGTGGTATGTGGACTGATACCGAGAAGAGTTTGGCCGATCGACGAAATTTCTGAGTTGCCCTTGTTTGATCAAATCCTCAATTTTGTCTTTCAACGCGGCGCACTCTTCGGTTGAATGTCTGCGATTGCGGTGATACTTGCAAGATTTGTTGACATCGGCGCGGGGCGGGGTTGAGGCTCTTTTTGGGACTGCTAACACTTCTGATGTTAGGGCTTGTTCAAGCACAGCGGCTCGGCTTGCATTGAGTGGAGTATAATGGGAGTACTTTTGACCTCGCGCAGGTCGGTCACGTAAGGTTAACTCTTTGCCTCGGCTTCTGTATGGCTGTTCTGGTTGCTTCTCGAGTTTGCCCCCCTGTTCGGCTCGAGCCTGATTGCGGTATTCTGCCAATTCTTCCATCTGCATGTATTTATCTGCCCGCCTTCGTAGGTCATTCATGTCTGAAGGAGGTTTTTTGCAGATGCTATTAACAAATGGTCCAGGTTTCAAAGCTGTTGTGAGATGGTGGAGCGCTACAGCCGGATTAAGGTCTCGGATTTCCAAGGTTGCTTTGTTGAACCGATCCATGAAAGTTCGAAGCGACTCTTTCTTGTCTTGCCGAAGGCTAACCAGCGACACGGACGTCAAGCTGTGAGGACGACTCGTAGAGAACTAAATAGTAAACTGGGACGATAGAGTGTTGAACGAGTCAATCGAATTGGGAGGGAGCCGAGTGAACCAACTCAGGGCTCTGCCTTTGAGAGATGTGGGAAAAATCCGACACAAGGCAGCATCGTCAGTTGTGCTCAACGTTACCTGTGTCAAGAAAACATCAAGATGTTCATCAGGATCAGTGATACCATCATATTTATCAATAGGCAAAGATTTCCAGTTATCCATCAGCAGGAGTTGCATGATAGTAGGGGTGAAGGGGTGACGATGCGTTCCAATGGTTGCCAAGTCTGTTGGCCGACCCACGGTTGGTTGGGCTGAGGGTAACTTTTCGGGTGCTACGGAGGCATGTGGGGCCGAGGTGTGAACTTCGTGGGATTGATAGGACCCTGAGTTTGCATGTTGGTTGCCTGAGTAGGCCTCCACGACGGATCTTGATGTTTCAGTGCCTCGTTCTCGGCTCTTAAGGCCGAAAGCTCCTTTGCCTCCTTCTCTCGTTGTTGTTTCATCGCGGCCATCTCCTGTTTCAACAGACGAACGGTTTCAGAAAGATCGGTCTCGTCTACAACCTCAACGTGTTCCTCCTCGTGCTGATGATCTGCCGTGTTCGTTCTCCTTGTTATCGCCATTGTTCTGCTCAGTTAATCTTCACAAACGTCTCAGTTCGGCCCCACGGTGGGCGCCAAATGTACCTGTCTGATGGGCACACTAAGGCTTCTGGTAGTCCAAAGGCCGAACGAGAGCTCCGATCCAATGCGCTGGTGAAGGGGTTGGTACCTGCAAAAGGCACTTCAACGCTCAAGTCAGGACAAGCTCGAATATCTAGGATAATTAATGAACAATGACGTTACCTTTTGACCTGAGCTATTTATACTGACATTTATGGGCCCATGGACCCTGCAACATATTTACTGTATTAGGTAATACACTTTAATCGACTAATTAACCTCTAATCTTTGATTAAGAGTACCAAGTGATGATAGGCCGATCCAGGTGGCCGATTGGCGTTCGACTACCTGGTCCTGTCATTCGGCGGCCGATAGGGTGGTGGCCGAACCCTCCTACCTGTACATCTTGTTTTATATGCCATACCATATACAATTTTTAATTGCATGAATTAAATGCAGATCATTTATAAATCAATTTTGTTTCATCCATAAATATCGTAATTACGCGAAGCAACAGGGTAGGTTGAGACTTGACAGTTGACAGAGTTTAGTTCTTCTCGTTTTTGCTCATGGAAGGGGTGGTGAGGGCAGCTTAGGAGAGTTAAATATTAAAAAAAAATATAGAATAAATAATACATGTACTTAGAGCGATTTTTTTTTTTTTTTTACGGTTATGAAATCACAGATTATATATATATGATAATTTTGTTGAATTTTACAATAATTATTTTAATAATGATATAAAAAAAATTCTAATAATTTATAATTAGTTGACCGTATAATCTATTAAATTCTTAAGCTAAATTGTACTAATTTTGATCTTCTGTAACCTCTCATCCTTTCTTATCGGTTTTGGTCTGCAAGACCTCTCGGCCCTAACTCGAGAGGATGCCATTAATTGGCGCAAGATTTTCCCATTGAATGGTCATAATTGAATTTTAAAATTTAATGTTTGTTATCTCGATTTTCCGTGTACAATCCTGAAAATTTCGGAAACTCATGAATGCAAAATAAATAGATATAAAAGACTCACACCATAGCTAAAGTCAGCTAGGTCATTAATGCTTTGGACTAAGATAACAATTAGGTCATTTTTCTAGTATATTTTTCATATTGGAATAGAAATAATTGTACATTTGTTTTTATTGTATCAAAATATAAAACAATGAATTATATAACTAATTTAATAAAAAATATATATAATTTTATTAAATAAACTTATTTTTTATTAATTGAATAATGGGTTAGAATAGTTAAAAATATGAAGACCTATATTTAATCTCTATTACGATTATCTTTGTAATATTTTTTATTTTTACGAAAAAAAAAACTTGTTTTAACATTAAATATGAAATTAAAAAACAATTACTCATACAATAATGTTATATTAAGAGATTAAGTAAGTATTAGAGGTATTTGAAATTACTGTTTTGAGTTCTTACTATTATGTAATCATTTTTTTTTTGTTACTTATGTGTTTATTAAGAGATTAAGTGAGCTTTGGAGATATTATTCATAA